CCCACAAGAGACTCTTCACTTTAGTGTAATAAAGACAAACACACAAACACACTATAACAACACTGAAATTAATTAACACACATACATATAGTTTATAAGCAAAAAAGCCATATACATTATACATATATATAATCATCAAGGCAAGTTGTTATAGTTGTAATAGAGTTGGTGATCCTTGATGCTCAATTTCTTTTGAACTCTCTCGCCGAACTTGTTAACCAACGCAAGTGCAACGGTAGTGAGTTGTGTCACTTTACTTACTCTTTCTTCCATCTCCACCTTTGTTTCTCCATCTAACCCATCCAGGCAAGTGTCTGGGTCGGTTATCGCGGCGCTAAGCCATGTCTGCACGTTGCCTATGTGCTTCAAGAACTGTTCTTGGTTGCCCGTGTTGGCAGCCGCGAGCTCTTTCGCGGTTGGTTTTAAACTATTGCACAAGTCGGACATTAGCTCGTGGCAATCCCCCAGGGCTACGTTCTCCCTTTTACTTAGTGTTTCAGACGCCCTTTTTGCCCTTATCTTGCCCAGGATGTCGTCCCTAGTGGATCGAGCCTCAGATTGGCATATGCTCAATACAAACTGAGCTGCCCGCCGGGGGCTCCCCTTGATTAGGATCGCATGAGGAGCGAGACTCTCGTAACACAAAGTTTGATTGATGTCTGTGATACCACATGTGGACTGGACAAAATTTAACAAGGAAGCGTAAGAAGGACGCTTCTCCGGCGTCGAAGACAAAGAATCAGCCGCCGACCAGTCGGCGGCTGAGAGACAATAACAAGTGAACAAAAGGATTAGGGCCAATGGAAACGAGTAAAGGCTGCCCATTTTTATATTTTTGTGTGTGTGAAATGGAACAAGGATTATAAATTTAGTTCCTATGAGTTAATGGCATGGAAATTGAGAAGCTTTAAATAGAAATGAAATGGTAACTTGTTATCTTATACGTGGAGACAAGCTTTCTCTTTATCCCTTATTTTCGCAAACCTTTGGAAAAAGAGGAATTATTTCTTGTTGACTTTTTGACTTGTGATACATTTCTTGTTGAGCACTCGCTACTACGTAATACTTACTCCATCTTAGGTGACATTTTCTTGGTCAAGTTTTTTTTTCTCGTCAAAAATGTTAAAAAACTCTTTGACACCAAGAGTTAGACATCAAGTATTTCACAAAAGTGCATAGACAATAAATGCCCGACATCACAGACTGTAAATGTCTGTGTCATTACAAACTGTAAATGTTTGTGCGATCATAGACTGTAAATGTTTGTGCGTCACAAATAATTATCTATATGTGTTTGTGAAACATTTGATGTCTGTGTGTTACAAATAATTATCTATATGTGTATGTGTTCATGACTATTTCCTCGCTCTTAAACCCTAGGTGGCCAAAAATTGAACCTATCGCTAGTACGATATAGCCAAACAAAGAATAGAGCACCGTTTCAGAGAGAGGGGAACTGACCCCATTGCTGCCTTTGACTTATCGGCGGCTCGCCACGCGATCAAGCCTCCACACAGTAGTGCGTCGGTGACTATCTTTGTAATTTCAATGTCGTTTCTTGACAGAGCAACATCGCTTCCCGTACATCGCCACATCAGCTTTCTCCCTTTCATCCACATTTAAGATTGTGGGTCCCCATTCCATCCTTTTTCTTTTTTTCTTTTTTGAATATTACTTTTATAACACTTCATTTACTATTTTAATTTAATTTAAAAACCTTTATTAAACATTTCATTTTTAATTAAAAGACTAAAATTAAGAAAAATGATACATAATCAATTAAAGAATGACACATAATTAAAAGCATAAATATAAAATGCGAAAAAAACTAGGATAAAAAAACTACTCGTTGTGATGAATTTCATTACTCGAACACCAAGTATCTATCAAATGGTGGGGAGGTGGAAATGCGTATGCGGGATTTGTAACGCCCACCTATTTGACTCTTGTTGCGCTGCGTCAACCGGCTTGAGATTTTCACCAACGCCATTTAGGTTGTGCTCCCATATTTCATGACCTTCGTCTCGAGTATTATGTTGTGTAACAAAATACAAGCATACATAATGTATCTCAACTTTTTGGTGTGAAAGGACGTGTCGGGTTTTGCACAATGGGCCACTGTTCCTTTAGAACACCACAAAGTCGTTCAACATATATTTTTTCTTGTCGCTTGTTGGTATGTTACAAATTGCCCGGATATTTTCCCAAGCCACTGCGAATATGTTGATGAGATGGTGGCTGCGGAGCTCCTATAAAAAGAGAATAAACTTAGATAGGAAGAATAACTTGTAATAGCGAGAGAGAAGAGACTTGAGTAATAAAAGAATATTTCGGCGGTCCTTTAGCATATTCCGATCCCAAGGTGGACTGAATAGGGAAAGAAATATTTGCACTAAATAGCACTAAAACTTAAGTCATTTCCTTAAATAGCACTTAAACATTTTTATTCCTTAAATAGCACTTAAAAATGTCCAGTGATGACGAATATTTACTTGAATAATGACTAATGCATAATGACTAAAAGTGCTACATTGGGAAGAAAAACACATGTGGTGCTATTCAGGGAAAATCATTATGTTTTAGTGCTATTTAAGTAAATTACTCATAGGGAAAAGGCCACCGGTTTGAGTTCATACGTTGTGTACAATACCTTTATTTACGGTCCATTACTCTTTTCATATTACTTTCTCACTATTATAAGGCCCGGATACTAATATTTGGACCTCGACAGTCCTAGGGAGAATATTAGGCATCCATCAACCCCAAAATTGTAAATAAAGAGTTGGGTGCAATACCCTATATGGTGTAGTGAAAACATTGGAGCGATTAAACTCATTTAAGTAGTTAGTCAACTCCACAATGCCAAAAAATGCATGCCAAACTCAAACATCATGTGACGCACTGACGCCACTACTTCCAGCATTATTGTCGTGTGTCCGTGACCACTGTGTGCGAACTGACCTCATAAAATAAATGGAATTAAAAATAAAATAAAATCGATCAAACCTCATAACGCGTAATGAGAAGATTTATAATGGATGGTGGGAGTATGGTTGTTATAGAATAAGGTTACTTGTACACCAAGAGGGTACCTTGGTATTCACCTAGTATGGTTGGTGTAATCCAAACATTGTACTCGAAAATATATGTCAAAAGTTCAGACTTACACTTTGAAGACTTGCATTAAAATAAAATGTCATTGTGATTGCAAAATCTTGTACTGACATTTTCTGTAAATGTAAGTTATCAATCCCGCACTTGATTTTAAAGCATACAAAATAGAGACTAGCTAGATTGCAAGTGCAACAACGTGACACTTACTTTGTTTAATGCATGATACAAGGGGTCCTTAAGCTAGATTTTCAAAGACCACATTTGAAAACGAGAATCTTTCACACTTTCGTCTCAACTTTCGGCCAATTCATGAACTTTCTTAACACGTACTCCCTCCGTCCCATGAAACATGAGATGTTTTGCTTTTTGAAGAGATTTAAGGGAGTGTATTTTGGTATTGAATTTCCAAAAATGTCCTTTGATGTGATGGGTAAAAGTAAGATTTGATGGGTAGATTATTAGTAAAAAGGTATGATGTGATAGGTAGGGTATGAAAAAGTAAAGGGTAAAAGTGACTTTTTAATAGAAATAAGATGTGTTTTATGGGACGAGTGAAAAAAGAAAGGAGAAAGGTTTTATGGGAGGGAGGGAGTATTACATTGATATTTTTTCAATACTATTGTAAATATTTATTTAGTTTATTTATCTTTCAATTAATTTTTCTTATGTGAAAATGCCTACGCAGCACATTTTGGCATGGAATTAAAGGCCCATCATAGAAGCAATGTGACTTTTTTGTGTGTAAGTATGTTTTTCTAAAATATACTCTTATCATATTTTTATAACATGTATTTAGCTAGAAATATACGGAGTATATACTACTACTAGTTAATAGGAAAAAGAATTTAAATAGGACTAAATTTGTGACATACTCCTAAATTTGTTAGAGTGTACATTTACCAAAATAAGACCTCTTATTAAAAAAGACTTTGATAAGACTAAATTTGTGACATACTTCCAAATTTGCCCCTAGAGATAATAATTACTCCACCGTTGTCACATTATCAACTCCACTGCCAAACTACCACAACCACCGCTGCCACACTGCCAAACTCTGCCGCCACACTGCAAAACTCCGCCACCACATTGTCAACTCTGCTGCCACAATGCCACCACCAATGTCTTCCCACTAATGACTCCGCCACCACAAAACTTCACCATCACACTGCCAAACTATGCCACCCCATTGCCACCATCATCGCCGACACACTGCAAACTCCGACGTCACACAGCCAACTTCCGCCACCACATTGCCATTATAGCTATTGTCATTGCACTGCCAAATTCCCCACAACACTGCCACAACAACTGCCGCCACCACACTTCCACCATCGCCGCCACACTGCCACCCTCCCGCCATCACAATGCCACCACCACCGCCACCACACTGCCACCATCGCAGTAACCCTCCCCTATCACACTACCACCGACACACTACTACCCTCCTCTGTCGTAACACTGCCACCACTTTCACCGCTACACTGTCACTACTTCCGCTACCACACTACCACCATCTATCGCCACACTGTCAACACCGTCGTCGCTTACTGCATGTAAACTCCATTGCTAGAGGTAAAATTGTAACAAGAAGTCTTATTTCGACGATTAAACATAGAGGTCCTATTTTAGGTATAACCCTTATATTTTGCTCCTCGTTAGAGTGATTTCTCTAGTTAATAACGACTAAATTGTTACATCTCACCTAAATAATATATTTTAGAGTGCCAATAACAAAAAGTGAAGTGTAAATATCACTCCCTTTAATCTCATTAGTGTAAAAACACATCATCTTAAATGAGAAAACACACATACCCAAAGTATTTAATTACACACACACACATTCAAACTTGGGGATCTCTCTCTCTCTCTCACACACACACACACTATAACAACACTCACATTAATTAGTTAAGACACATAATACATATAGTATATAAGAAGAAGAAAAAACCCATATATATAATCATCAAGGCAAGTTGTTTTCGTCGTAGTAGTAGAGTTTCTGTTCCTTGACTTTCCATTTCTTTTGAACTCCCTCACTGAACTTATTAACCAATGCAAGTGCAATCTTAGTGAGCTTAGACACTCTCACAACTCTATCTCCAATGATCTTTGTCCTCGAGAACCCACTAAGCTGACTTAGCCCTTTGACGCAATTGTCCGTGTGGCCCGCTGCGGTGTTAAGCTCCTTCGTAACGTATCTTACGTGCCCCGAGAAGTGTTCGCGGTCGCCCGAGTTGGCCTCCGCGAGCTGACGCATGGACGGTCCCAGACTATCGTGGAAGTCGGACATTACCTCACTGCAGTCCGAAATCGCACGCACCTCCGTTTCACTCGACTTCCCACTCTTGATTTCTCTTTTTAGCGTGCGCACGATGGCGTCCGCGGTTGACCGGGCCTCTCCGTGGACGGCGGTCATCGCGAACACAGCTATCCGCCGTGGGCTCAGGTTAATTTTTCTGGCATAAGGATTCAGAGTCTGGCGACACAAGTTTGTACAAGGGGTGTGGTTGCAATTGGACTCGACGTAGGCGGTGTAAGAATCAGGATCGGAAGAAGAAGACGACCAGTACTCCGCCGCGGCGGCGGAGAGACAATAACAAGTGAATAAAAGGATTAGGGCCAAGGGGAAGGAGGAATAATGCCTTGCCATTTTATTTTTGTTTGTGTGTGAGAAACTATGATGAAACACAGATTACAAAACAATATGATTTATTTAGTGGCTCTTGAGATGAATGGCGTCGAGTTTGAGAAGGTTTAAATAGGGCGTGGAATGAAATGTTGCAATCATATAGGCGGGGACAAAGCTTTGTCTTTTGGCACACCTTTGGGAAAAGAGGGATTGTTTTTTTCTTGCCTTTTGGACTTTTGATACATTTCTTGGGGAGTATTTAGTGCTACGTGACACTTACTCCGTCTTAGATGACATTTAATTTGGTTTTTATATGTTGTATTTTGTAAAATTAATTTTGTAGTAAAAAAAAAAACAAACAAACCTAGTTTTTTTTTAATTAAGGAAAAAGAAAGAACGAGATCTTTAACGTTCACCACATTAGAACGTAAACGTAATAGAAATCACTCTAAATAGGACTAAAACATAAAAAAAAGTAGCAAAATAAGATTTTCATGTTTCTTTTCCCTGAAATATGACTTTGCACCGTGGTAATGTAACTTTGCCCTGTTGTAATGTGACAGTGAACATGTGCAAATTACTATACTTTTTTGGTAATATATATGACCATGTATGGTAATGTAAGTCCTATTTCAGAAATAAAAACATGGAAGTCTTATTTTAATATATTTTCAATGTTTTAGTTCTACTTTGGTCTTTCTCCCAAAACGTACCAATCCATTTGAAGAATTACGTCCCACAGCTCTATATCACTTTAAGCCACGAGAGCGCTTCCTTAGCTTGCAAGCCAACACATCCGCCGTTCCATGTAAGGGTCTCGAACACACCGAAGAGGCCTGTTTGGGGGCGGATGTAATATATAGATTAGTTGGGGGGCCAATGCCCCTGCTAATCTTTTTGTGTAAGATTGTAGAATAAATCTAAAGTACATCACAATGGGATACCTCATTTGTATACAGATACTTAGTGTCTGTGATCACAAACCCTAAGTGTGTATTTGCCTGATGTACAAATGAGTTATCGCATTTTGGTGTAGCATGACTCAAGATTGTAAGGTATTTTTTTTAGTTTATGTATATAGCCCAAACTAAAATTTGGGAGACCCCATCTAAATAGCCAAATTTTTTTTCTTTAATTTTCTGGTAAAGTGTGTTTTTTATATATAATTTGTTAGAATATAAATAGTTCTTCCTGGGCCACAACCACAAGCTTGAACTTTTTGTTGAATTGGTTCTTTGACATAATTAATTGTTTATAAAATAAATTTTTAAATTGCCAATTGAAAAAAAGCTTTCAATTACAATTCCTCCGACTAAATTTCCAACATATGCCCCCCTATCTGGGGAAAAGCAGCAACTTCATATCTGTTTGTCAAATGAACGTAGCGGTCGGCCTCATCTTCCATATAATTCTAGTCGCCTCATTTTTTATTATTATGCTTATTTTGATGCAACTTGTTTGTTTGTGATTTATTTCTTTTATTTTTTATTTTTTTCTCTTTAAAAAAAAATGTGATCTAAAATATTTATCACTTCTAAATAAATTTCAACCATACAGTTTTCATTTGATCTAAAAAAGAATTCTCTCTTAATGTGAGCTAAAAAAGAATCCTCTCTTAATCGAGAGACATGTTTTTTCTAGAAACGGTATCGTAAGGCTTATAGCCTTGGGATGATCAAGATTACCAAAAAGGCGTAGATGGGCATACTCGATCATGTAGAGAACCTCAAAGAGATACTTGCTTAACAAATTTCTTGGTAGAGATGCGGCATACTCGATTATTAACACATTCTTCCCTATTACGACTTTAAAAAATCTAAATCTTAAAAATGAATTGAGTTTTAACCTCTTTTTTTTCTCAAAATTAACAAAAATAGATTACGCTCTTGACTTGTGTTTCAGCGGGAAACGCCATGTGAATTTGTTAAAATCAACAACGAATGAGATATAATAACGAAAACCACTAATAGAAGTAATTGAAGTTAGACCCCAAACCTCAGAGTGTATTAAATTAAAAGGTGCATCATCCTTGAGTTAGTTCAGATAACTCAAAAGGTAAAGCTACCAGGCTTAAAAGAAAAAATATGACTCACAATGTAGTGGTTTGAAAACTATAAAGCGTGACGACAAGATAGACTTGACGATAACAAGAGACAAATAATCGAGCGTGCGATGCCAGGTAGACGCTTGAATTGCTTGACACACAACAAGGGTAACTAGGAAGGGAGGGTGCAAATTAAAGTCCATGTTCACACTTCACAGAGGCCCTTGAACCATACTTTGTTGGTGGCATTGTCCACTATTTAAAAAATAATTATTGGCATTAAAAAAATAAAGGTGGACTAGAACTGCCTGCTAGCATATTTTTGCTTAATTTTTTGTAAGGAGGGTTTCTCTATTAAGCAACAACAACAACATCATTACCCCAGGTCCTTCAACGGCTCCCGCCCATTGCGAGGTAAGGGCAGGGCCAGCCCATATAGGGGACAAGGTGGCCGTCCGGGTCGGGCCCAAAACTTTTGGGGGCACAAATTTTTTTTAGTTATATATATATCTATGTATGTATGTAAGCCCAGGCACACTCCATTAGTCCACCAATGCCTTAAGTCCTTAACTTAAACAAAAAAAAGAACAGGAATACGGAATGGAAGAGACGCAGAGTGCCGATCGAATTCAGTGACGAAGAAACCAGAAGCAACGTGCCAGAAATGTGCAAGCGCCGAAACTGCCGATTGAGTCGCCTCCACCGCCGGACTCCGAGTCGCCGCGCCTCCAGGTAATTAATTTTGTAATTTTTATTAATTTATTTCTTAAATCTTAATTTTCTTTCATTGTTTCATTATTTAGATTTAAAATCTAGGGTTAGTTATTAGTTTTAAATTTGAAATCTTTTCTAATTTCATTCTTTGAAATAGAATTAATGAATGGTTCTATATGTTATTTATTTGATTTTGGATGAATTGTTTTGAATTTGTTATTTATGATAATAATATATTTATATTAAAAAAAAACTGAAAACTAAAAAAAATTAAAAACTGAAAAATTGTTGAATTGATATGAATTTTTGTTATTTATTTTTTTCTTTTAATAATATTGCGTTAATTATAATTTAGATATAATTAGTTTACATATGCGAATTTTTTAGACCATTAAATAAAATATTTTTAGGGCCTTTTTTTCTGTTTCGGCCCAGGCTGATGAATCCTCAGGACCGGCCCTGGGTAAGGGGGGTCGGATGTACGCAGTCTGGCCCCTATGTTTAAAACATAGAGCGGCTGTTTCAGATGACCAATGATGAACGTCAAAAATTGCATTGACCAACTGCTACTTCACGATGACAAGAAGCGCAGACAGTTTAGAGAGCCAATTTGCTTTATTCCATCATACCCCAAAGCCAAAAATAGTGAATCTTTGGCTCCACATAGGAATTGGACATGCGTATTTGGTGGCATCCATTTCAGCAGTCTTCTATTTGTAGACACAACTGTCTCTTTAGCATATTTTCTTTCTTTCCTCAAATTCTAAACATTACTTATCTCTTGTACACAAACAATTATCTCTTGTTTGTTATATTTATTTAATTAATATGCTAGTTGTTTTTCTCTACATCTTCAATGTTTCACATAATTGCTTCATTCACTTTTCTTTGATTTTAATAAATAAATGATGAATGTTGAATACTTGTAGAGTCTATACCTAGCAAATCATCTTCTGATGTACTCCTTAATAAATAAACATGATGCTTGAAACAAAACCATTGGAATTGATATTTTAAAATAATATATACTTTTTAAAAATAAACATTAACTTTGCAAAGTGGAAATATCTTCTGTGTAAATTATACCGTTTTAAGCTACCCCACATAGCAGATACTTACCCGTTGTGTAATCATGTGAGTTTTTAACCTTGCTTTCACAATGGACAAATATATGTTGTGTAATCATGTGCAATGTTTAACCATTCTTTCACACCGGATGAGTATCCGCTTTTATAAAGCATAGGATTTTTAGGTATCCTTACGTAGCGGATAAATATCTGTTGTGTAATCATGCACGTTTTTTACTAACATTACACAACGGATATTTATCCGCTGTGTAAACATAAAACATTTCCCATCGGCCACATACATAGTGGTTGGTTTCTGGTGGGAAAGGTAAAATTTATCCGTTATGTATTCGTTGTTTTGTAGTAGTGGCAAAAACTTTACATTTCATTTTTCTTTATCCAAAAAACTTCACACTATCAATTTTCTATAGAACATATTACCTCCGTCCCTGAGTATTTGTCCAGTTTTGACTTTTTTCGGTCAACTGTTTTCAACCTTTGACCTATAATTAAATAAAATATATATTACTGTATTTATTAATTAGATAAAATAATATTTTGAAAATATTTGATATAATACATCTAATAAAACTATTTTTGTATTAATATCTAATGTCATTTTTATTTAATTTGAGGTCAAAATTTACCAATTTTAATCGAAAAAATTAAAAATGGACAAATACTCAGGGAGAGAGAAAGGATATAGGAATGATAGCTCACAGTGCTTCTCTCTTTTCTGTCAATTGTAATCATAAACTTTTAATACTTTCAATACTTTTTTGGACTCCTTAACACTGTTGATTCAAGATATTGGAAAGGAACGAAGCTAAGAAATTGAGAAAACATTAATTTTAATTGAGAAATGCTAGGTGTACATACACTAAATGTGTATCCCAAGTGTATACCAAGCATTTTGTAACCACACATTTTTATTACGGGGTAATTTTTTTTCTTTTTTACATTGAGAAGTGTGTGGTACCCAAGCAGTTTTCTTTAGGGGTGGGCGCGGTCCGTGATGGTCCGTGATACTACCGGAACCTGTCACGGACCGCTCTTATTTAAACGGTTCGGTATCGGTACGGGATGAACTTCAAAACCATTCGGTACCATTCCGTTTTGAAACGGAACGGTACAATACCATACCCATGCTCAAACCGTGCCAAAAAAATGAATGTACATTACTCAAAGAATATTGAATTTAATGTATAAATTTGTATAAAAAGCACAAGTTTGTTAAACAAAAGTATTGATTTCAAATTTAAATGAATCATAAATATAAA